TGCCCTTGGATCCTGGCATCCCCTGCCGCCTGTGCGGGAGACCACGGAACCCTCAGGGCCCTAGGACCCTGGTGGAGTCCACTCGGGTCAGGTGAGTGGAGCCATGAGGCAGCAGCTGCCCAGGGGATGGACCTGACCCCTGCTGGTTTTGAGTGGGTGAAGGTGAGGCTGAGGCTGTGCTGTGGGCAGCCCCTCACTGAAGCCCTGAACAGGGTGAGCATCCCGCTGTCCATCCTGGATCCCCCGCACCAGTACCGAGTCCATCGGCGGAAGAGCTTCGATGCTTCAGACACGCTGGCTCTGCCCCGGGTGAGCAGCTGGGGGCTATGCAGGAATGAGGGGGCCACATGGACCCTAGGTCCAAGCAGTGCTGTGTTGAGGGCAAGCACCGAGTCTTGGGGTATGTGGGGGTGTCGTCCATCACCCCTGCTCAGTCCCCTGGGGAGGATGTGCCCTGTGACCCAGCTTCCAGAATAGCTGTCTTTCTGCGCCCGGCATGACATGAATGGACCCCATTTCCTGAGCTCTTGCATGCTGTGTACATGGTGTCACCCCCACTCCATGTTGCAGGGGCTGAGACAGCGGAGCTCGTGCCTTGGTAGAAGAGCTGGGGTGTAACCCTGGATCTCGGTGCTTCCTCGAGTGCTTCCTTAGCCCCACCCTTTCCTGTTTCCCGCTAGGATGGGTGTCCAGGGCCACCCACGTACCCCAGTAGAAAGGGCGGCTGGGGTTGGAGGAAGAGGAGGAGTGGGAGCTAGTTGGCTTCTCTGCAGTGGTGTGAGGGGTCCACCCTCAGGGTGTTGGGGCAAGGGGAGCAGTTCAGTGAGGTAGGACGTGTTGGGTGCTCGGTGCTGGGGCAAAGCCCGGATGAGACGCACTCTGCCCTCCCTGCCCTTACCTCCCAATGGCTAGGCCAGCAGGGAGAGGAAAGGCCCAGGGTCATCAGTGGGCCCCTTCCCTGGGGGAGGCTGAGACTGCTTAGTGGCTCTTCCACCTGATGGGGCCCCAGGCCAGGTGCCTTTAACCCTTCACTCTCCACAGCACTGTCTGCTAGGCTGGGACATCCTTCCTCCAAAATCTGAGAGAAGTACAGCCCCCAAGAGCCTTGACCTCTGGTCCTCCATCTCCGAGGCCCAGCACCAGGAGCTGTCACCGTCTAGCTCCCGCCTGGTAGGGTCCAGGTTGTGCCCAAGCCTGGGGTACCCTGTGAGGGACAGATACCTTGGAGCAGGCCTGGGGACCAGAGTGCCCTGGGGGGGCAGGATTGGGGGTGCCAGGGCCTGCCCACCCCCACCGACAGGCACCCTTTGACTCCACCACTCCTCGCTGCCCACCCTGTTTTACCCAGAAAGGTGACCCTGACTTTAAAATGCAGGAGGGCCCGAGGCTGGGCCTGGGGACGACCTGTCCCCCAGGTTGCCCCGACGCTTCTCTGTTCACCATCCAGGCCTTGCCAGTGCGGGTCCCACCCCCTACTCCTGTCTGGTCAGAACCCCAGGGCACCTGGCCCTGTGTCCCATGGCAGAAGCCCTAAGGACCGACTTCCTGGAGGAGGAGGGCGCGTTCACCTGCGCCTCTGACCTCACCGTAGCGGGCGCTGCCTTTGAAACAGACGGCCCCGCCAGCCTCAGCTGCAGCAGCTCAGGCCCACCTAGGTTGGGCAGCTGCGTGGGCCCAGAGGGGAGGGTCTCCCAGGTGGAGGTGAGGGAATTCTCTGCAAGTTTGTAAATAAAGCTTAGTGCTCGCTGCAGCTGTGACTCACACGTGTGCCCTCTCCTGGTGCCCGAGATCCCCAGAGGGCACCTGGCCCCAGCTGGCCCCCCTCTCCTGGGGAGAGACACCACCCGGGCAGAGTGCACCCATCACTGCGAGTGTGGTGCCCTGCAGCTCCCACCAGACAGGTGGGGGTCAAGGTGGGTGTTAAAAAGCTACCTCTGCAAGGGCCTCAGTAGAAGCTGGATGGTGTTGGGTCAGTGGTCCCCGAAACCAGTCTCCACCCAAACAAGGGCTCTCTTGGGCCCTTTGCCAGGTGGCTCCCACACGCTCCTCTCTAGCCCAGTCCTGGAAGCTGTAGGTGATCCAGAGCCCTAGCGGGGACAGATAAGGAGATTAGGGGTAGACAGATACCCACCCTGTTTTACCCAGAAAGGTGACCCTGACTTTAAAATGCAGGAGGGCCTGAGGCTGGGCCTGGGGACGACCTGCCCCCCAGATAAGGTTGGCAGAGAACCCAGATGTCGCCACCATTTTTAAAAAGCAGCACCCTGGCTGGGTGCAATGGCATACACCTGTAATCCCAGTGGCTTGGGAGACGAGACAGGAGAATCGGGAGTTCAAAGCCATCCTCAGCCATGGTGACATGCAAAGCAACTTAAGTGAGACCCTGTCTCAGGTAAAATACAAAATAGGGCTGGGATGGGGCTTGGTGGTTGAATGCCCCTGAGTTCAATCCCTGGTATCCCCGCCCCTACCAAAAAAAAAAAAAAAAAATGCTTCTTGCCAGGCAAAGTGACGCAGACCTGTAAGGCAGGAGATAATGAGTTCAAGGCCAGCCTCAGCAACTTAGTGAGACACTATCTGAAAATATACAAAAGGACTGGGAATGTGACTCAGTGGTAAATGATCCCTGGGTTCACTCCCAGTACCAGGGTGAGGTGGGGCATCCAGTTTTTCTCCCATCGTGTATATATTAAGTTGAACAATATGAAGTTCCTGATTTTTGTGGGACAAAAGTGGGGACACAGAAACCTGGTTTAGAAGAGCTCTTATTCCTTAGCTAAGGTGGCACTGGGCTGTGCTGTCCTGTGCTCCTGCTTGTAAGGCTTGATTGAAGCCCTTTTCTCCTTGTTTATAGCCACATATTAGAATAAGCTGGGTCATGCTGCAATAACAAGTTAATGTCACAAATTTGAGCAGTTTAAGGAGAGGTGAAGATTTATCCATTATGGGTCATGCGAGGCCCAGGCCAACAGACAGTACTGTGTAGAACATCATCAGAAGCCTCAGCCTAGAAGAGACAGGGTTTCTCTATATTGCCCAGAGGCTGAGGCAGGAAGATCCCAAGTTCAAGGCCACCTTGGGCCATGTAGAAAGACCCAGTCTCAAAATTTAAAAAGTAAAAGGACGGGGGATATATCTGTATCCCAGCCCTTTCCCTGCTTTTTTTGATTTTTAAAACAAGATTTCACTTAGTTGCTGAGGTTGGCCTCAAACTTGCGGTCTCAGCCTCCGAAGTCACTAGTTTACAGGTGTGAGCCACCACCCAGCTTGAGAGTTGGTGGTTTCTGTTGAGAATTCTTTGGCCAATGGGAGAAGAGAATCTAGAAGTCTTTCTGTCAAAAATCACAGATGTACAAAGGTGAATGAATCAGTTACAGGTGCAGCTGTGGATCACCAACGCTCCAAAGAGCAGCAGCCTAAACCAGACTGGGTTCCTTTTGGTAAGAGTCTGGGCTGGATGCTTTGATGGGCCATTCAGTCACCAGGCAAGTGGTTTCTATGGAAAAATAGTTATTTTGAAAATGTAGAAGGTCCCTAACCCACTGCTTCCAGTCAGTTCCATGCACAAGAAATCACAGCCCAGGGGTCCCAGATAGTTACTCTGTACACCACCCAGGAAAATGCTGCTTGTTCAGCTCAACTGCCAACTGCTGACCTCAGAGACGTGAAAATGTGAAGTGATTTGCATCTTAGAGTCAATGAGATGCAAAAGGCCTAAGCCTAAGAATTCCAGTCTTTATGCTCTGCCTGTCCCAGGCCTTCAAGGTCACCTTACCTAGTGGTGGCTTTTTTGAGTCAGTCTGGAGTGATGGGCTGGGATGGGAGACGAGTCCTTATGTGGCCTTGGCTGTAACCTGATCTGTGAGGCTTTCTGCCCAGAATGCCTGGGAGGTTCTGGAGAAGGCCCTGGGCCGCACTTGCATCTGGTGCAACCCCGACTGCTCCCCCAAACCAGAGTTTTTGTTTTTGTTTTTTGGTACTGGAGATTGAACCCAGAGGCACTATCCCACTGAGCTACATCCTCAGCCCTTTTATTTATTTATTTATTTTTGGAGGCAGGATCTCACTAAGTTCTGAGGCTGGCCTCGAGAACTTGTGGTCCTCCTACCTCAGCCTTTCTAGTCGCTGGGAGTACAGGCGTGCACCACCAGCCTGGACGGACTCACTTCTTGGGAATGCTTTTGTCAGGGCACAGGCTTCTTCAGCCTAAGGGGCTCCCAGAATAAAGGTCACAGGCCGAGGCCCTCTTAACAGCCTCATGTCTTCCAGTCTGTCCCTGTCCTCCGTTCCACCTTCTGCACCTGTTCCCTGCTGCCCTCCCGCTGCTTGCAAGGCCAGCCTGACTCCTGACCCACGCTTCCTGTAACGTGGGGGTTCCCAGGACGCTCTTGGAGCACTTGCTTTGGCTCCATCCACATCAGCTCGCACATCTCTCCTTTGGAGAGGCCCCCCACCTCTGGAGCCCTTGGACCACGCCCAGGGACCTCCCTACACTCTGTGGCCCTTCCACAGCAGTAAGTAGCAAACCACTGAGTGCCTCTCTCTCCTGTGAGAACTGAAACTGCACAGGAGCAGAGCCAGCATCTTTGCTCTTCATGGAAATGTTTTCATTTTCTGTCTCTAAAGTTTCAGTGTTTGGCCGCCTTCTCCAGCCTCCTCTCTCATCGGCCTCCAGGGTGACCTGGGCCTGTGCTTCCATTTCTCTGAACAGGACTTTGTGGTCAGGCCTCAGTGTGCTGTTCTCTGTTCGTTTTTGTTGTTTTTTTCTCCTCTTGGCCCTTCTTTTTGGGGGGGGGGGTACCGGGGGCACTCGACCACTGAGCCACATCCCCAGCCCTATTTCGTGTTTTATTTAGAGACAGGGTCTCACTGAGTTGCTTAGGGCCTCACCATTGCTGAGGCTGGCTTTGAATTTGCAATCCTCCTGTCTTAGCCTCCTGAGCCACTGGGATTACAGGCGTGTGCCACCGCGCCTGGCTGTCCCTTCCGAGTATGTAGCATTAAAGGAAAAAAGTGAGATCTTTTACTTCTTCCATCACTGACGCCTGTGTTAGCCACTTAGAGATGAGGACGACTCGAGTCCTCCTTTGTGTGGACCGCAGTGTGGAGACTGGAGACAGCCGAGTGTGTGGAAAGGCGGCCGCACGTGCTGCAGATAGAGCCCGGGTCCTTGACGCGGTGGGTGGCACTTCTGCCCTTCACCCACTCATTCATTCATTCCTTCACCGCGTGTGTGTTGGGCACCGTGCCAGCCTCCGCAGACGGTGGTGACCAGGCCACACCAGCACGGACGGCAGCTGTCTCGTGCTGTGGGTGAGGCGACAGAAATGAGCCAGGAAGTGGGGAACGGCAGCTGGTGGCGTAAGCGCCACTTCCCTGTCCTAGTCCTGCCCTAGTCCTGCCCTCCCGCGCCCTCCCAGGTGAGGAGCCTCTGCAAAGCCGCTGGCTCTGCCCCCCCTTCTCCCAGCGCAGGGCAAGCGCCGCAGCCGCTCTCCGTGTTAACCCTCGGCTCCCCGCCTCTGGGTCTTTTCTCGCCCTCTTGCTTCTGCCCAGAACTTTCCCCAAACCCACCCAACTCCTACTCGGGCCTCCCCTGGTCCCCGGAACCCCCTGCACTCTGCTCAACTCCGAGGTCCCTGAGGCAGGCGCCAAGCAGTGTGCCCAGGGCCAAGTCCAGAACAGCCGTGGCACTTGACGGTGCTCAGTAGTGGACGAGGGGTGGGAGTGCCCTCCAGCCTGCGGGCTCTGGCTTCTGGCCCTCAGGACCATGGGCTGACAGGAGGTGACCTCGCGGCAGTGCCCAGGACCAGGAGAGGATCGGGCCGCACAGCACCTGCCTCGGGTAAAACCCAAGTTCACATTCAAGGGCAGCTGCTCTCGTGTCACGGTCACCCCTAAGCATTGTAAGCCGCACCGTCGCAAGTTGGGGACTGTGTGTAAATGCCAAGACGTCAAGGTTGCCATCGGCTCTTCCTGTCCCCACTCACCTGTCATGGGGTGGCCATCAACCAGAGCCAAAGGACACCCTGAGCTCACTCCTGTTGGCACCTTCCCAGGAGGGTCAGAGGCGAGGAGACGGCCCTCCTCCTGGCCCATGGGGCTGTTCCGGACCAGCGCAGGAGCCAGGAGGCTGTGGTGACCAGGCCCTCCCCGCGGCCGTCGCTTGGGACATGGGGAGGGCCTGGTCCACTTCCTGGGAGGGTAGACGCCTGAGGTGTGCAAGAGCCATGAGGGGAAGTCCGGGCTGCTGTGGCGAGGGTGGCATGTGAGGTTGGGTCCTTTCTGTCAGGTGTCTGACGACGGCTTGGGGCTCTGGGGACAGCCCCTGTTGTGGCACCAAGCTGGGCTCTGACCACAGGTGTTCTCAGGCCCTCAGGGAGGCAGGTTTTCTTGTGTCCAAAGCCCCAGCAGCCCCCGAGACTCAACGGAAACCACTTGGCCTCCCTGGGCCCCGCTATTAGGACTGACCCCCACTGTCCCCAGACAGGAGGCCTGTCTTGGCCAGCCAGGACGGGGACCCTACAAGGCTCAGCCTGTGGAGGAGGAGGGAGGGAGGGCTTTGAGGATCCTCCAGGCCTCGGGTGTGGCGTGCATGTGAGATGGAGAACCCCAGCCACAGGAGACCCAGCTGCCTGTCCTTCCCATTTCCAACAAATTCTGACCACTCCCTGGGCACGGCCACCTCCACTCCTGGGGAAGCCCCTGCTTCGAAAGGAAAAGCACGTGGCACCAGTGCCAGCTGTGTAGGGTAGAGCACTGGCCTGTGGGTCAGTATCTACTCCTGCCTGTGGGCAAGTCAGTGGTCCTCTCTGAGCCTCAGTTTCCTCCTCTGGAATGTGGGTTATAACACTACCTAAAGCCACCTCAATGTGGGTGTTTGGAGACTACAAGGAAAGGATCAGATACAGTGCCTAGCGCAGTGCCCAGCACACAGTACATGCATAATAAATGTATGGTATTATTTGAAACAAGGGCCCACGCACATGTTGTAAGATTGGGGTGTTCTATTTTGGGGGTGGCCCACCTACCTGGACTGATATACAGTAAGGACTGAGAGAGGGAGGGGAAGATCCTGGACATTTCTCCATTAAACAGTGGATAGTGAGTTACGCCTGGTGTCTGGCAGGAGCTGGCTCCATGGGGCTTCAAGCTGGGGAGGGCTGGCCAGGGTGGGGTAGGCAGGTGTGAGAGGCCTGGGCACCCTCAGGCCCTTCCAGGAATTCTTGCTTGGAAACTGGGGACATGGGACTGCGTGTAGCATAGTGTAGGACAGCAGGATGTGGTGACCAGCCCCCACCCTCTCCTCCTCCAGGGGCAAGTCCTGCTAACTACCTGCCCACTGCCAAACCTTTCCCCTCCTGAGCTGTTGGGATTACAGGGTGCCACCATGCCGTCTGGGATCCAGGGTTTTGGTTTTGTACTGGGGATGGGCTCAGGGGTCCTCTCCTGCTAGCTGTGCCCCCAGTGCTGTTACTTTTATTTTGAAACAGGGCCTCGCTAAGCTGCCCAGCCTCTGGGACTGCAAGTGCGCACCCCTGGGGTCTTTTGACAGCCATTCCCTGTGCCTGCTGCTGGGCCAGCACATGCAGGGCTCCCTGGCCTCGGCCATGCAGGCCAGCCCTGGGTGAGGGTGGCCTTCACAAGCTCCTGGGGCCACTGACAGCCGTGAGCCAAGGCCCAGAGTGCATTTGCCCTTTGTCCCTGTGGTGGTCCCCATCTCAGGCCGTCTCGCTGTGCCTCCTGACCAGCTGGGTGGGCCTCCAGAAGGCTTCCCATCCCCTAGACCCAGCTCTCAGGCTCCACGGCCCCTGGCCGTGAAGGGCACTCAGTCTCAAACCATGAGTCCGCCGGGAACCTCCGAATGTGACCTCGTTTGGATTAAGGGTCTTCGCAGCTGCAGTGGAGGTAGACGGGGGGGGGGGGGGGGCCGTCGTCCTGTACTAGGGAGGCCCCAGCTCCAACACGGGTCCTCCTAGGACACGGGAAAGGAGCGGGCACAGACACCCGGGAAAGGGATGTTCCAGAGGCAGCTGGGACTGGAGCCTTTACAAGCCAAGGGCACCAGGAGCCAGGAGAGGAACGTTGTCCCTGGGGCCTCCAGAGGAGCCCACCCTGCTGATACCCTGGCCTTGGACTTCTGGCCCCTGGGGAGACAGAGCCTCAGCACCAGGCCCAGTTGGGTCCCCCTGAACTCAGGATCCCCAGAAATGCACAGGTGTGGGACGTGGACCTCGGAGGTGAGGGGAGCCCCGCAGGTGAGCATGGGGCCCCTGGGGCTGGAGTCCTGAAGGAAGTTTGCAGTGGGCCACCACAGGAGGAGGGCGACGAAGGCCACCAGGAAGCCACAGCCCTCAGAGGAGCAGCCCCGCCCCCCAGCCTCCAGCAGCAGGGGTCAGCAGCTGCTGGTGCCTGTGGCCTGCGGTGGGTGGTCGGTCGGTAGGTGAGAGGCTCCCTGGTGCCAGGAACTTCCTTGTGAGGCCCAGGACGGTGGCTGCCTCCCGCCCACGCTCCCTGGACTCCAGAGCTGCCTGGCCTGGGCCTCGTTTTCCCACCAAGAATGCTGCCTGTTCAGCCATGATGGCCTGTGGCAGGTGACAGGTGGGGGAGGTGGCTGGCTGTGGGTGGGCAGCAGAAGGCCAGATGGCCGGATGGGGTTCTGTGCCCACCTCACCTCTGGTGTGCCACCAGCAACTGGGACTTGGCCTCGTGGCTCTTCTCGTCTGACCACTCCAGCCCCCGAGGTTCTATAAATCTGGGGAAGCATCTGTCTCAGGAGCTAATTAAATCCTGGAGCTCCTGACCTGTGATGTCACTTAGTATCATAATAAGGAGGGGTTAGGTAGTTCCTACTATGTGCCAGGCGCCATTCTGAGAGCTTACACCTCTGAGCTCCAACTACCCTATGAGTAAAGTATTATTGCCATTTTATAGATGGGGAAACGGAGGCACAGAGAGTTTAAGTGATTTGCTTAAGGCCACACGGTCAGCAAATGACCACACTGGAATCTGAACTCAGACCATCGTGAACTCTGGAATCCATACTTGTAGGCTCTGCCATGTGCCGGCCGGTGACATGGTTCCTGGTATTTCTTTCCTCCGGGGCCTGGCTTGGGGTTGGGCTCTTGTTTTCTTGGGGTCAGTGCCAAGCCCAGGCATGGAATGAGGGAGACCCTGTCTGGTCCTTGCCCCATGGGCCACTGGCACAAGCACCCGTCCAGAGCCCTCTCACACACTCACCCCCTCACGCTCGAGCGTGCTCACACATGGACACACGCGCACACGTGCTGGGGGCCCGTGGCAGTCACTGTGGCCCCACAACTTAGTCATCCGACCCCCGGCCGCGCTTCCTTCCCCAGAGCTGCTGTGGCTCCTCTCAGCTGCGCCCTTCTCTGTTTCTCTCAGTCTCACTTTTCGTTCTGACTGCGAAGGACTTTTTTTTCTCGATCTCTCTCTTGTGGTTTTCACAGTACTGGTGGCTCCAGCTCAACCCCAAACCTGCCGGGCCACCACCTGCCGGTCGGATCTGTGCACTGGGGCTGGGAGAGGCCCAGGACTTCCCTGCTTGAGGCTTGATAGAGAGGAGGCAGGCTCCGAGGAGGAGTGAGGTCACCAGGCAGGGGGTGGGGACAGACCCCAGACACCCGTGTGGTGTGTGGTTTCAACGTCAGCTCTGGGAGCCCCGGGGGTGCCTGGGGTCGCCAGCTGATCACAGAGCTCCCCTAGACGCTGACACCTGGGCACCCCAGATGTGTCACCCCCCCTGAGTCAGGCCTGGGGGTCTCCCAGCTGGCCCTTCCACCTGCTTCCCACAGCTGCTGGGGACCTCTGGGCTGGGCTCAGAGCCACTCCTGGGGTGCTGGACTCCTGTGTGAAACAGAGGGTGATTCAGCCACGCAGGGTCCTGGGAAGGAGTGGCGCTACCTACCCAAAGGCTGTCCCAGTGAGCCACATTCCCAGATGCTTCCCTCTGATGTGACTTTGGACAAGCCACCTCTCTACTGATTTTCTTATTTATAAAATAGCTTCTCGAGGGCCTGGGAAAGGTAGGAACTGTACTAACAGATTTCTTTTAAAATAAATTCAAGTGTGAAAGAAAATGTCTTTTATAATGTCCACCTCACGGGATAGGTGGGGTAAGATGAGCTCATGTGGAAAAGACCTGTGAGAGGCCGATTGTGTCCCCTAAACTTGTAGGTTGGAGCCTTCATCCCAGCGGGACTGTACTTGGAGACAGGGCCTTTGAAGGGTAATTAGATGGAAAGAAGTCCTGAGGGTGGGGCCCTAATCCAAAAGGACTGTGTCCTCCGTGTAAGAGGAGAGCACACCAGCAATGTCGTGTGTGGGCAGGTAAGAAGGCGGCTGTCTCCAAACCAGAGAGAGGCCTCTCGGGAAGCCAGACCTGCCCGCACCTGATCTTGGGCGTCCAGCCTCCAGAGTGGTGCTTTGTTTCGCAGCATGGACACGCCGACACAGGCTGTGGTGGTCTTGAGACCTCTGGTTTCAGATTCCAGTTTTTTAGATTTTGGAATACTTGCATATACACAATGAGACATCTTGGGGATGGGACTCAAATCTAAGCCCCAAATTCATATATGTTTTATCTACACCTTATCCACACAGCCTGCAGGAAATCTCTATGTATTTTTAGTGGGACTGCAAGTTGTCACATGATGTCAGGTGTGGAATGTTCCACTTGTGACATTATGTTGGCACTCAAAAAGTTCTAGATTTTGGAGGATTTGGGATTTTTGGACTTTTGGATTAGGGCCAGGCATAGTGGAATGCACCCACAATCCCAGATACTCAGGAGGCTGAAGCAGGAGGATCACAAGTTCAAGGCCAGTCAGCCTAGATAATTTAGCTAGATCCTGTCTCGAAATAAAAAGTAAAAAATGCTAGAGAGGGGCTGGAGATGTGGCTCAAGCGGTAGTGCGCTCGCCTGGCATGCACGCGGCTCTGGGTTCGATCCTCAGCACCACATACAAATAAAAATAAAGATGTTGTGTCTGCCGAAAACTAAAAAATAAATTTAAAAATTCTCTCTCTCAAAAAAAAAAAAATACTAGGGATATAGTTCAGTGGTAGAGCAGCATCCCTGGGTTCAATTCCCCACTTCTGCCAAAAATAAAAATATGAAAAAAATAAAATTCAGTTTGGGGATGCTCAACCTGTATTGCAATGGCCACATTCACATAGTCGCATAGTAGTTGCTCAATAAATGGCAGTCAGTAATATTGTTAGCCCAGCAA